ATTCCAAGTGTGTTTTGTACCCCTTGTGGTGAATTGAAATTTATACGCTATAATGTCTTTAAAATTCCCAGATCCTCTTTTTTATTTGATTGCATGTTACAGTGCTTTGCAAAATATGGCTAACATGTAGAAGTCAAATAAAACTGCTTTTAAGATATATAGATTCGCGAAGAGTGTAAAATTCGTGGTGGTACCATTTTATTAACGACTTTAAAGAGTGAAATGGGAAATCTTTGAAAACTTGGTAGGAAAATCGCCTAGGACTCCTGACATTTAAATAACCCAGCATATGTCACGGCCATTACATGGACGTTTTGTCAAAATGTCGATCGATGTTAACAAATGGGCGAAGTGTTATTCTTATCGCTTCGGCTGGAAAATACTAAGGTTAATATCGAAATATTGAGGGGAACAAAATGTTGGTGGGGTTTCCGTTATGTTAAAACTTTCAAGATGAACCAGAAGTGGTATCATTAGGTTGGCGTTATCGACGAATATAACTAAGTCCGCTTTCAAAACGAACAGGGATAAAGTGTTTGATTTTATCAAAAATGTTGATCCTTTGTGATTAGTCCAAAACGATGCACTCCGTTGTCCATCACCCACTTAAACTTAGGTTTAAAAAAAAACTTAAATATTATATTCACTCTATACTACAGGTTTTTATTAAAAACTGTCATAGTTTTGTTAATGCAGTTTGGACTTAAGGGGACCCCCCATTCTCGGGGTCAAACATTTTTTTGATTTAATTCGAATCTACACTAATTCAAGAATGTCAAGTGAAAATCTCAAGAACTCTTGAAGATATAACCGATTTATTGTGACAGCACCAAGTGACGGCTAAAGGGCTTCTCAAACTTTAAACGCGTGTTTCTCTTTTGCGAACATTAAAGGCCAAATTTTTAGTTTCTCTGTGAATAGTATTATGAACTAGGATAAAGCCAATCGGTGATCTCGACTATTTAAGTCGATCCAGACATGTGTGTCCGTCCGTCCATTGTAATTTGTAATACAGCGCACACATTTGTGGACCAATCATTACAAAATTTTGCATGTAGTTTCGGTTTGGGAGAAAGAAGAACCTTGTAGTTTTTGGTAGCTATCGGTTGATATTTTGGCGATGAAATGAACAAAAGCATTATTTCCGTCTTTTTGCTGGCCGCTCTAGAGGCCAAATTTATGATCCCAACATTACAAAATTTTACATGCGGATCTGGTCAAAGAATAATCATGACTGTTTCTGTTGACCTCTAAAATCATACCAATCATATTAATGTATGTACCCGGATGTGGAAATTATGCGTATATATTTACAGGTGTAAACTAGAGGTCAGAAATTTTGATCGCTTCCTATAATTCATAAATAACGAAGTTATGAGCATATGAATTCCGGAAATAAAAATAAAAAGAAAAATCGGAGATGAGCCCCTAAACTCAACTGAAGCCGATTTTTCTTTTAACTTCTATAATACTGTCAATAGGATCCACCTTTATATGGGGGTAAGACAAAATACCGAAAAGTAGATGGTACCGTTATATTTTCTGCAATTTCACAAATAAGTGACTTCCCATTCCTAGTTTCATAAAATCGATTTTTTTATTTTTATTTCATACTAGCATATGCCCGCTACTTCCATAGCGGATGTAAGTTGAAGTTGTTAGAAGTTGTCAGAAGAGTTAATCAACATACACACCAATATTGATCACAATTAAAATTTTAGTACCATTTAGTTCCTTTGTTATCTTAAAGTATGTATTTCCAAAACTACCTCCATATCTCAACCCTACACACAATTTCTGACCGTGACACAAATTTAGCTCTATATTAATTTTGGTACCATTTATTACCATTCGTAATATTGTAGTAGTTATTTCCAAAACTAATTCCACATTTCAATATTCGAGCATATAGGTTCACCCAAATCTTAATTTGAGCAAATTTAGTACCATTTAGTACACATCAATACAAATCCAATAGAAATCATATTTCCCAATCGCTTCACCCAAATATAATATTTGTATCCATTTTAGTACCACAAAACTTCCTACATAGCCCAATCATACAACCCAACAGTGATCATAACTTTAAATTTCAACATTCCAGCTCTTTCGGTTCACTTAAATCAACATTTGATACCATTTATTACCCATTAGAATAATTTTACAAATCTTTCTATATGTACTAACTCTAAATATTAGGATTCCAGCTCTATCGTTTCACCCAAAATTAAATTGTACCAAATTTAGTACACATTAGTATGCATTTCCAAAACATACTACATTGCGCAGTCATACACCCCAACATTGATTCTAACTTCAAATTTCAACCAAGTCCATATTTAGTACTCCTACTAATGTGTACTAAATGTGGTACAATTTAAATTATGGATGAACCGATGTAGGAAGTTTTGGAAATTTGTACTAAATGGTACTAAAAATGGACTTCAAATTTCAACCAAGTCCATATTTAGAACCATTTAGTACACATTAGTACCAATTTCCAAAACTTCCTACATCGGTTCATCCAAATTTTAAATTGTACCAAATTTAGCACACATTAGTAGAAGTTTCTAAAACTTCTTACATATTGCAATTCTACCCCCAACAAAATATCCAGATTGGCTCTATTGGTTTACCCAAATCTTAATGTGGTACCATATAATACACATTAGTACGAATCAGTTCTATCGGTTCACCCACCCTATCGGTACACCCGATATAATACTTTTCGTACACACAAGTAAAAAAATTTTGAAACTAAATACATATGCCTACCCTAATACATATCCCAAAATTTCAGGATTCTAGCTCCATCCTTACCTCCAAAATAAAACTGTACCAAACATAGTAATTTTCATAAACATGTGTACACACTTCCAAAACCACCCCTTATATCGACTCTTCTTTTGATGTAATACTTTATAGTACTTTTCGTATACTTATAATTAAAACAAAAACAAATCTTTTGGTACATTTATTCTATACTCCAACAGTGACCCTAATTTCAATTTCCAGTGTTCTAGCTCTACCGGTTCTCCAAATATTAATGGTACAACATTTAGTACTTTTCGTTCCGACCAAGTAAGGAAAGTAGTAAAGTCGGACGGGGCCGACTATATGATACAATCACCACTTTGGGTATATTCAACAGATGGAATCCTAACTGAAGTCGCATTTTTGAAGGACCATTAACATGAAATGAAGAATATATAGGGACTTTGTTGCACCATTTACATAAAATCGAACGAAAATATATATGAACCGATTTTCACGAAATTTAACACACATCGTTCTAGACATAATTCAGAACGCTGTCCCAAATTTCGTGCAAATCGAAGGATATATAGGGACTTTGGTGCACTATTTACATAAAATCGGACGAAAATATATGTGGGAGCTATATCTAAATCTGAATCGATTTTCACGAAATTAAACACACATCGTTCTAGACTTAATTCAGTAAGCTATGCCAAATTTAGTGCAAATCGAAGGATATATAGGGACTTTGGTACACTATTTACCTAAAATCGGACGGAAATATATATGGGAACTATATCTAAATCTGAACCGATTTTCATGAACTTTTACACACATCGTTCTAGACTTAATTTAGAATGCTATGCCAAATTTCGTGCAAATCGAAGGATATATAGGGACTTTGATGCACTATTTACCTAAAATCGGACGAAAATATATATGGGAGCTATATCTAAATCTGAACCGATTTTCATGAAATTTTACACACACCGTTCTAGTCTTAATTCAGTAATCTATGCCAAATTTCGTGGGATCGAGGGATATATAGGCACTTTGGTGCACAATTTACATAAAATCGGACGAAAATATGTATGGGAGCTATATCTAAATCTGAACCGATTTTTCCCAATTTCAATGGGTTTCGTCCTTGGGTCATATACGAGAACTGTGTCAAATTTCATCCAAATCGGATCACAAATGCGACCTGTACTTTGTTAACAAAAATACATTGACGGACGGACAGACAGACGGACATACATAAATCGACTTAAAAAGTGATTCTATGCATATTCTCAAAAGGAACCATGTGTCTATCTCGTTTCCTTTTGCCTGTTACAAACATATGCACAAAGACATAATACCCTGTACCACAGTGTGGTGAAGGGTATAAAAACCCAGCCATATCTGAGAACTTTGTACTATGAATGGCCCTCACTCAAAATTTCAAGATTCTAGCTTCAGCTCAGTCAATCACTTTAGTCTTTTATTAGTATAATTTCTTCTCATGAATTTCTAATTAAAATTTCAAGTGTATATCTCTACAACTCCTAATAATATAGACGATTTACTGAGCCTGCAACAAACGCCGGAAATAGTGCTTCTCAAATTTTAAACGCGTTTTTCTCCAAACAGTGTTTTTACGATTTAGCACAATTTTGACAATTTTGTGGGGTAGGTACCAAAAGAAGTGGACCGATATTCCCCATCTTCGAACTTAAACTAAGTTTGGATGAAATCGATTAGTCCCTCGAGAGTTATCGTGAGCATCAAATTTTCTGAAACGGATTTGGTCTAAAGAAACATGGGATTTAAAACCAATATTTCGATGAGGTACATTTTCACCGCATCAAAAGGTAAATAACTTCATTTGCCATGAGGCTGTGGGTATAAACATTATATATGTCTTATCTACGTTTACTTTTGAAACCATGAAAATGATAAACCTACATAGAATTAAATATATGGCAGTCAAAACTATATTTCTAGCTTTTACATAAATTTCTCCACCTGGCTCTAGTAGATTTACGTTCTATTGAAACCGAGTGTACTTAATTACCTAATGATTAATAACATTATCCCCTAACAAATAAACAGCAATAACCAACTGTATGTTTTTTTTTCAAATCTCCAATTCGTTACAGCCACTATTGATGTTGGTGTTACTGGCCATCACCCTTCAAAATCACAAGTCATTGGCACTGCCGGTAGCCGAAGCAGAAGCTGAGGCAGCAAAATCATCCATCATGGATCCCAGCAAGCTGTTGGTCATAACAGAAGATGTGATACCCGATGTTGTTGAAATGGATCAAAAAAAGGTGATTCGTGTTAATCCCCTCGACTTGCCACCCATCAAAGAAGATCCCAATAAAATGAGCGAAGATTCATCGCTGTACAAAATTCAATCGATAAAACCCTACAAGGGCAAACGTAAATATGCCAATTCTCAAAATATGCGTCGCCTTAAGGGACCGGCTGAAGCCAGCAGAGCCAACGATGGTACTCCAGTGGCCGATTCACCCATCGTACGAGGATTGCCACCAGCCAGCGAACCAAAGTTTGTAAAACCTAAACATCAGCCAAAAAAGAAACATTTACATTTTCTTTACAATCAGGACGATTTGTTAGGTGATGTAGTAACGAAGACAATGCGTGTCCATGTAGCACCGGGAGCCTATCCAGTCTTTTATGCTGTGGCCAAGACAAATGGCAGTTTCGGTAAATATCCATTGAAGAATTTCAGTAGCGCCCGGGAATTTAGAAAATATTTACAAAAGAATAAAGTGGATAGTTTGGCATTGGTGGAAACTGTGTATGATAAGGAATTGCAATGAATCTCACTCACTAGCTCTCCCTCACTCTCTACAAACTAGAGTTTTTTAGTCTTAAACTGTAAATAAGGATATCTATGTATGTAGTTGTATTTGATTTAAGTATTTAAATATTTATCTGTAGTCTATAGTTGTCTTCTAAGTTTTT